TCCTATTCCATCCTGTAATGTTTTCAGAGTGTCTGCTTTGACTTGGAGGTCTTTGATCCATTTGGAGTTGATTCTGGTGCAGGGTGATACAGAAGGATCTAGATTTAGTTTTCTACAAGCAGTTAACCAATTTTGCGAGCATCATTTACTGAAGAGGCTGTCTTTGTTCCATTCTATTTTTTTAGCTCCCTTATCGAAGATTAGATGGCTATAAGTCTGTAGGTTCATTTCTGGGTTTTCAATTCTATTCCATTGGTCGTGAGGTCTGTTCTTGTGCCAGCACCAAGCTGTTTTGATTACTATGGCTTTGTAGTAGAGTTTGAAATTTGGTATTGATATTCCTCCAGCACTGTTCTTTCTGTTGAGGATCATTTTAGCTATTCAGAGTCTTTTGTTGTTCCATATGAATTTTTGGATTGTCCCTTCTATTTCCCTGAAGAATGAGGTTGGAATATTGATAGGTATCGCACTGAATTTGTAGATAGCCTTGGAAAGTATTGCCATTTTCACGATGTTGATTTTTCCAATCCAGGAGCATGAGGGTTTTTGCCACTTTCTAAGTTCTGTTTTGATTTCCTTTTTCAGGTTTTTAAAGTTTTCATCATAGAGGTCCTTCACTTCTTTGGTTAAGTTAATTCCTAGGTATTTTATTTTTTGTGTGGCTATTACCAATGAAGTTGCTTTCCTAATTTCAGCCCCACTTTTCTCATTGTTGGCATACAGAAAAGCCATTGATTTTTAAGGGTTAATTTTATACCCTGCTACTTTGCCAAAGTTTTGAATCAGCTTGAGTAATTTGGGAGTGGAGTCCTTGGGATTCTTTAAATACAAGATCAGGTCATCTGCAAAGAGGGAGAGTTTTACTTCTTCTTTCCCTATTTGGATCCCCTTTATGTTTGCATCTTGTCTTATTGCTATAGCTAGACATTCTAATACTAGATTGAAGAGAAGTGGAGAGGGTGGACATCCTTGTCTCATTCCTGAGTTAAGAGGAAATGGCTTTAGTTTTTCATCATTAATTATAATGCTGGCTGTAGGTTTGTCATATTCTGCATCTATTGAGATAACTATGTGGTTCTTATCCTTGCTCTTGTTGATGTGATGAATTATATTAATTGATTTGTGTATATTGAACCAGCTTTGCATCCCTGAAATGAATACTGTTTGATCGTGGTGTATGATTTTTTGGATGAATTGTTGAAGTCGATTGGTCAGAATTTTGTGAGAAGTTTTGCATCAATGTTCATCAAAGAAATGGGTCTATAGTTCACTTTCTTTGATGAGTCCCTGCCTGGTTTTGGGATGAGGGTTATGATGGCTTCATAGAATGAGTTCAGTAGTGAACTTTCTCTTTCAATTTCATTGAAGAGTTGGAGGAGTATTGGTGTGAACTCTGCATTGAAGACCTTGTAGAATTCCACTGTAAAACCATCTGGTACTGGGCTTTTCTTAGATGGGAGGTCTCTCATTGCTGTTTCTATTTCAATGCTTGATATGGGCCTGTTAAGATGGTTTAAGTCATCTTGGTTTAGTTTCAGCATGTCAATATTGCTAGGAAAAGGTCCATTTCTGCCAAGTTCTCAAATGTATTAGCATAAAGTTTTGAGAAGTATTCCCTTATAAAGTTCTGAATCTCGGTTGTTTCTGTGGTGATGTTTCTATCCTCATCTCTGAGTTTATTTATTTGGGTGTGTTCTCTTCTTTTTCTGATAAGATTTGCTAAGGGTCTGTCAATTTTGTTAATTTTTTTGAAGAACCAACTCTTTGTTTTGTTGATTCTTTCTATTTTTTTGGATTCTAATTCATTTAATTCTGATTTAATTTTAATTATTTCCTTCTGTTTACTGGATTGGGGTTTATCTTGCTGCTCTTTTTCAAGGAGGCTCAGATGTCTCATTAAATTGTTGGTTTCAGATCTCTCTAATTTGTTGATGTAGAAACTCAGAGCTATAAACTTGCCTCTGAGTACTGCCTTAGCTGTGTCCCAGAGGAGCTGGTAATTTGTGTGCTCATTTTTGTTGAATATTATGAACATTTGAATTTTCTTTATAATCTCTTCCATGACCCACTCATGATTCAGCAGTGTGTTGTTCAGCCTCAGTACTTTCTTTGGTGGCTTTTAGTGTTGAGTTCTACTTTTATTCTCTTATGGTCTGAGAGAATGCAAGGTATAACTTCAATGTTTCTGAATTTGGACAAGTTTTCTTTGTGACCTAAAATGTCTATTTTGGAAAATGTTCCATGTGCTGCTGAGAAAAACGTGTATTCTAATGGTGCTGGGTGAAATATTTGGTAGATTTCTGTTAAATCTAGTTGATCTATGTAGTTGTTTAGATCTGCGGTTTCTCTGTTGAGTTTTTGCTGAGTTGATCTATCTAGTGGGGAGAGTGCTGTGTTAATGTCCCCAACAATGAATGTCTTTGGATCTATGTGGGATTTGAAGGCAAGTAGTGTTTCTTGGATAAATTTGGGTGCTCCATTGTTTGGCAAGGGTCCTGGTTTTCATCCTGTTATTTCCGGTCCTACTGTTGGGACTGGAAAAAATGTATAGAATTTGACCATTCCAACACGTGACTGTTGGTGATTGTCTTTATTGCTATAAATGTCAAATACATTATTCAGTCTGAAAACTGAGAGCAAGGCCTACTTCACCTATTTCTCAGCAGTATTAATAAGGTTAAAAAAATTTTGATCTAGCTTAAGATGCTGTGCAAACTCTAAAGTAAGATATGTCAGATTGGAAGATATGATGCTTTATACTTACCAGAAATTCTGAAGCTGTAACACTGGACATATAGCCTGCATGGGGCTGCCATTTTTCTTTCTCTAGAAAATCAAACTTTGTGTGTTATTATAGTCATTGAAGCTCTTAGACTCAGAGCTGGCATTGCTTCATTGTGAATACATAGCTGTGTGTTCATATTACTTCAGAAGCCAGTGCTGCCACTTGCTGTATACATTCCTATAGCTCAGAACCATAAGCCCAAGCTAACATGGGACAGGTTATGGCTAACTGCAGCAGAACACCAAAATCCACTTGAACCTGGGCAAAACAATCGTTCACCCAGCACCAGAATGTCAGGAAATCTCTTAGCTTCTGCAGAGGATGCTCTCTGGAGCTCCACAGGGGAGATGTAGGTACCTCTCAGTGTCAAGGAAATGAATTCTACCCATGGCTGCCAGAAAAGGAGTTCTTTACTTTCATCAGAAAATGAGTTCTGTCCCCTGAGGGAGATGCAGATGCCACTGGCAGAAAGTAATATACTGACCTACCAATCTACTATTCATTGTAAAAAGGTTTTAGCTTCTTGGCTGTTTTCTGTACAGTAGTGGTTCCCAAATGAGGGTTATTTGGGAACCCTTTCTCCCCACAAGGAACATTTGGCAACATTGGGAGAAATATCTGGTTGTCACAGGTAGGGGGTAGATGCTAGTGGCATCTGATTCACAGAGACCAGGGATGCTGCCACACCTCTGCAGTCACAGGGCAGAACTTCCCACTACCACCACCACAACAAAATGATCTGCCTTTGATCTTCAATAGTGTGGTGGTGGAAAATTCTTAGGACAGACATGATCTATCTATAGAAGGTCATGTGGGTTCCATCTTTAGCCTCTACTTCCTAATGCATCTACAATGAGTTTAACTCACTCCCAACAGTCCCTTTCAGCGAATTAAAATATGATGGGAGATACCAAGGGAATAGTGGTATCTGCCAGAGGCAGATACATGCCTCCTGTGTGTCACGTTCTGTCAGTATTATTTGTGCCATGTTGAATACAGGTGAACAATTTTAAATAGCAAAAGATAAGAAAAGTGGAAATGAATGTGTATAATGGGTTCAGTTAGCAGTTATGAAACAGAAGGGAAGAAAAGGGTGTGTATGGAGCATTGTTTGGTCATTGTTTCTGATCTTTTAAGTATGTATGTTTTTCAAGGTGAGCTCACCTTTGACTCCTAATGAATCACTGATTTAAAAGTGTTATTGGTCAGCAATCCCTCAAGGGTTCTTGATATTTTTCCTCCTATATGAGATAATTCATCGCTTGTGAATTTGTATTTTATTCCCGGGGAATCTCTGCTTCTTTTATAAATGTTGGCATTTATTCCTACAGCAACAAGTGATCCTATTCTGGAATCTGTCCCACCTAAAACTTCTAGAACTCTTGAACAGCCAAGGGCAACAACATTGGGTAATATTTTTTTTAAAAAATGTGCTTTGTTTCCCATTTATAAAAAAATCCATAATCCTGTGAATGCCTTTTCTCATCATGTCTAAAAATTTCTTTCTACTTTGTCTGAATATATGCCTAAGGTATATTTTTAATGTAGCTATCTTTTAAATTCTATTGTGATGTGTGTCTGTCTATCTCTTATGTCCTGAACTGTAACAGATGATATTTCCCTCTTCTTCAACGTTGTAAAAGATTTTGAAAACTGCATGGACCTCATTACCCACATCCCCTCCTCTCCTTTCCTGTTTGTGGCCTGTGTCATTTCACTTGTGTGTACCTCGGGAGTCGACCTGGAGCCAGCTACTGAACATTTAATATTCTAACTTTTCCCCATTTCATTTCATCCATCCGCTTGCAAAGCCACGTGCACTTTTCATCCCTAATCATGTAGCATGTGCATCGTGCCATCCAAAAGCATGTTAAAATTCTTAAAATATCTCATTTTAATTTATTTGGTGGGGTGGGGTGTTTTTGCTTTCAGCTCCAAGTGAAGTACCATTTGCTTCTCAAAAAGTGGAAACATTTCCCAGTCATGAAATGAAACCTACAACACCTGGTAACTAATGATCTTGGTTTAATTGTACACTTTGAAAGAACAGGTAAAGTGATAGAAAGGAGACATTGTTGACCTTTTCCGAACATTCCCCTTTATTCTCCACCATGAAATTCTTTAGAGAACTGAGTTATCTCATATACCTTCTTATAAAACTCAGAGTTTCCATAATCCTGATGCTTATGTATTTTAAAAAATAGTTTTTATTTCTTTCAACATTGTTAATCTTTCAACATTATCATCCGGAAAATAGCAGCTGAAGTATACATGATACATTATTCTAGAAATATATTCTCTTTTATTGAATCCATTTAGATATGACCTGATCAGAGTATTTTATCCAGTGTAGTCCAAACATAAACAGTATCTAGTAGGCTCTGAGATCCTTGCTGGATATGATGAAGAAAGAGATGCAAAAAAGAGGTAATAACTCACAGTCTATAACATAAAGTTATTTCAGTAGTAGTAGAGTTTATTGTGCTTGGTAAAGATAAGAGTGAACCACAAATTAAATGAATTCTGAGCTTTCTCTAAATTTAGGTTATTTGGTTTGTGTTTGTCCACTACTGAATATTATCCTTCTGAGTTCTTAGTTGTACCTTGTATCTGAAATGGCCAAGGTGCTCATTTTCTAATACAATTAATTGAGTAGTATATTCCTCACTTCTCATGTAGAATTTTAATCTATTTGGATCAGGTCAATACTCATTTGGATGTCTACTCTATAGAAAGCATAGTGTTGGCCATTCTAGGAATACAAAGAGTAATGAAGTCATTCTTGCACTTAAGCAGATTATCCATTTATAGGGACCGTCGGTTGAGAAATACCACTTACCAAAGCTATATTAAATCTTCTTTCAGCTCCCCAGCAGACTATATCCACCCCTTCTACACCTAAACGTCGCCCCAGACCCAAAGCAACAAGAACCAAACTTAGTAAATAAATTCCTCCTAAACCTTTCAGGATATTTAATTCCAATTAGATCATGTTCATCTCTTATAAGTAATTGTATGATTCTATCAAGTAGATTCTTTATGAAGTTTGAAATGAGTAGCAGTCTCAAACAGAAATGAAATGACTCTAGTGAGATTTTACTGGAAATTACATAGTATTTTTTTGCCTATGAGTTTTGGGATGTTGCCACAGCATCATAAAGTGAGATATAGAGCACCACACTTTTTTTTTGGTATGCACCTTTATTTAAGCGTCTGAGGGGTTGGCAGCTTCTTTGTTGGTGCCTGCTATGCTTCCAGTTTTGCAGAAGGCACCTTCAAGCTGCTCATCATCATGTCAGGATAAGAGATGACAATCAAAATTCTAAATAATATTCTAAAAGTCAAGACTCTGTAGTGGTTGTACAGAAGCTCCAAGGAAGACTCAATTAGAAATACAGGCCTTCCAATATGTGTACATATTCTATTATTTTCACGAAATACTTCTCTGTATATGAAACAGGAAATATCCTTTTAATGGAATATTTTCAGAACTTCCACGATGATATATTCTTTCCACTTAACATATAATTTAGCTTTATACCTTCCTGGGTTTTATTTATTTATTTTTCTATTAATAAGTTTTTTTAATTGTGAAAATACCCTACAGAGGGGTTACAATTACATGAGCAAGGTAATGAGTACATTTCTTATCAAGATTCCTGGGTTTTAAATATTAAAATTCCTAAATACTGATTTGTTGATTATTTTGTTTCTTTATTGTTCCAACTCCCAGTAGAACACAATTTCTTTGAATGTTAAAATCTTTCTCTTTTACCCTCACCATGACATAAACAACTGGTAATTTACCCTCAAGTTGTTTTCAGTATTCCAGAAGTAGGGTTTGACATTTGTGTTAGGCAACTCTTATGATCTGTATGTTAGTATGTGATACATTTTTCCAGGGCAAGTGTGAAAATGCAATGAGATGATCTCATCTCAGTCAGGCCTTTGATATGATCACAGTGCTGCTGTGAGCTGTGTGAAGGATCATTATGTTCGTGACCATCACAGAGAAAACACAAAAATACAGCCAGGAGATTGAGGACCCCCTTGTCTAGGACTTCAAATAATTTCCAATACCAAAGTTGAGTGGAATTCTGATTGCTCTGAGTAATGGCCTTTCAGCTGGAAGGGGAAGAAGTGTTTCCATCTTCTAAGAATTCTGCTTGTGTTGGGGCTCCTCCATTTTCAGGCTGTAAGACCAGAATGGCGAGATTTTTCTAATGCTCTGAGAATTTATAATTGGAGATAATCTCTGAACACTGGCATCTGCTTCCCTCTCAGGAGATTTTACTAATGGTATACTTCAAAACAAAAACAAAAAAGAAGTCTGTTTTACAGGAAGAGATTCTTCTTCTATCTCTCTCTCAGATTTAAATCTATGCAGAATTTATACAGAGGTTGATTTTTAGGAATTTTGTCACTCCTTGTCATTATTATCTAAATTTTCAGCCCTTGGCTCTAAGCAGAAGATGTTTCTCACTCTCGGCTTGAAGAATCCTACATATGTGTTTCCCTTAATAGCCTGTTTCCAAAGCAGGATTTTTTGGGGGGGGATGGGGGGGTTCCGGTCGTGAGGCCTGAACTCTGGGCCAGGGCGCTGTCCCTTAGCTCTTCAGCTCAAGGCTGGCGCTTTACCACTTGAGCCACAGCACCACTTCCGGCTTTTTTCTTTTTGCTTATGTGGTGCTGAGGAATCGAACCCAGGGCCTCAGGCATGCAAGGCAAGCTCTCTACCACTGAGCCACCTTCCCAGCCCCAACCAAAGCAGGATTTTTAAAACAAAAGTTTTGTGGTTTTTTTTTTCTTTTTGCTTAAGTAAGCCTGGTTTTAGTTTTGCAATGAAATGGGCAAGGAGGAAAACTGTAACTATATTTAAAAAAAAAAGTTTGCTCCTTTTGAAGAGGCAGGTGTTAAACTGAAGGAAATTAGTAATTAGCAAGGGGAATATAGTTGACCATGGCAAACGTCTCTTAGAAAAACAAAAATGGAAAAAAAACTCCAACTTGAAGAGCATATTTGAGCAAGAAGCCTAGAGATTCTGGCAGTGCTATGCTGGAAGGGTTAGCGTACCTGTAGATGAATTCAGCGTTGCTTTTCATTTGACTTGCTTTTATTGCAGCTCCAGAACCTCAGACTCTTCCACCATCACAATCAACAAAAGGTAATGGAGCTTCCTTTAATCAGAAAGAATGACCTTTTACCCCTTCTAGTATCCACATCTTTTGATTTGGTTTACCTTTAAAATATTCCTTAATTATTCTTCAGCTCTCTTTTTACAGTGATTCTTTTGTCAGACTACTACTCTGTGCTGGTGCCTGACTGAAGAGAAGTCTGTAGACACACACAGAAACCACCCTGATTTTGATTTGACACATTCTTTATTGATCTGCCTTGTGTTTGAGGAATTTGTCCTTAATTTGTTCTAACCTGGTTATTTCCAGTGGAGTGTCTTGGCTCCCCCAAGGCATATTTGCACTTACAGTATGTTTTTCTTACTTTCAAAACTTTTAAACCATTTGCAGATTTTCTTGAAAAGCAATGTGATCTAAATACCATGATGTGTCACTAGGAAATCCATTAATAGATGGAAAGAGAAAAAGAACTAAAACTTACCAATCTTTATAGCTTTTTCTCTTCTAAAAGAAAAAAAACTGTGTCTGAGTACCACCTTAGCCAATTACCCATATTTTCCTTCATAATATGAACTGCTTGTTATTTTATTATATTCACATCTTCCAAAAAAGAAATGCCTTCTTTTTCCATTTCTCTTTCTAAACTTAATTGACTACATTGTTATTCACTTTGTCTAAACACATGGGAATTAGTTTAAGTAGAAAAGGTAGTACTTTTGTTGGCAAAATTTCATTTTTTGTATTTTTCACCCTAGTAAATAGTTTAGCAGCCCCATATACATTTAAATACATTTTGTCATGTTGCTTTTCAATTTAATTCCTTTTTGGTGGTTTCTTAGGTAGTCTCAGGACCTGGAACACTGGAAACTAAACCTTCAATAACAGCAATGGGTTATAAAATTATCAGAGGGTGATTCTTTTTTTATTTATTTTTTATTGTGAAAATACTGTACAGAGGGGTTACAATTACATAGGCAGGATAATGAGTACATTTCTTATCAAGCATTGTAACCTCCTCCTTTGTTTCCCCTTCCCATCCCTTCCCAGCCTCCCCCCAACCCCCCCCCACCCAATCCAGAGGGTGATTCTTGTTTCCTCCTTTTTTAACTGCTGGTATCTTTCTTGACAGACTCCCATTGTACATTAATGTGTTAATGTCACTTGTATTTTGTTCTCTGTTCTTCTGGAAATATATATATGTATATAAATATATTGTATAAGTATATATAAATATGTGCATAGTATACATATATATTTTGCACTACACAATCTAAAATTTTTCCTCCCCTAAAATAATGTTTGAATTCAAAGTCTTTTGCATATATTGGTGATAGTAGGTATTTTAAACAATTGAATAAGTTCTCCTTTGAAATAGTATGCCAAATAAAATCAAACTTGCATTCCTAGTGACTCCTCAAAAGCAAACTTTCTCATGCTTCCTTTAGCCCCCACCTCCAAACCTTTGTGTCTGTCACTTCTGTATGAAATTTTCCATCTCAACATGGAATAATAATATGATCTCTTGGACAGTTTATAGAACTTTAACCAAAAAACGTCAAGATTTTATGTTAATGGGTAATGAGAGAAAGTTGAAAAAAGCAACAGGTGTGTCTACAACAACTCAAATGGCTTAATTGTGCATTTAAGTCACATGTAACACTTATTGACAGCTATAGAGCTACATTTCCTATATTAACTAGCTAATTTTCTTTCTTCAGCTCCACCAAAGACCAAAAGACCAGGTCGTCAACACCACCCTAAAACCACAAGACCGGGTCGTCGACACCGCCCTAAAACCACACGTAGTCCAGACGTGCCCAAGTCCAAACCTGGTAAATGTAACAATGTTCAGGATCCCTGAGAACATGGGAAGCCGAATGTGGTAGCTTGTGTTTGAATAGCTATTACATAGCTATTAAAGTATCTGGGTTTTAGGAGCCAACACAGTTGATTTTTACATTTCAGCATCTACACACCTTTTCTAAATCCACTTTAGATATGTTTTCTTATTTTTATTTTTAGTACATACACCAAATGGAAAGCTGGTATACAAGGTGAATTATTAAAGGCACCTTAAAGGCTTGCATTTGGAAAATATTCATAATAGATAAGTTGTTAGAAAGCAATGGGGCAAAAAGGGTAGTTGTGAGAAATAAAAGGGAAATTGTCATCAGAAAAAGTACAAGAGTATCCTAACTTGAGATTCAGAGTTTCCTTCCTGCTCTTGCCAATTCTTGATATAATTAGTGCTCTTGATTTTTTTTTTCTTCTATAGCTCTGGAACTCACCACAGTACAGTTGGAGCTTATGGTACCCACAATCGGTAATTCTATCCCCTCTGGTTGCCTTGGTAGCTTTTGCTTTTCACACTCTCCACCTCAGGCATGACTACATTTCTGCCACCTCATCACAAAAGTCATTCCATGCTTCAAACATGTGACCTGTTTGGGGAGAAAAGAAATCCATCAACTTTTCCTTAGGGACATCTACGCTCATCCTGGACTGAACAATTGGTGTATACTCTTTTCCTGTGTTGTGGGAATATAATTTCATTTATGCACATAACTTGTAAGACTTTCTCTAAAAAGCTACATGAATAATGGCTTCTGCACTACCATTTCCTTGAAAAATGCTTTTGCATATGTTTCATTAACCAGAGGTTATTCTTGATCTAGTATTCAGTATAAAACTAGTGGTGTTCTTTACAACTTGAGAGCACTGAAAGTCCAAAGATGGTTTTATTATTAGTAGTAATAATATTGATATTATAATTATTTCATTGAAATGTCTGCTCATTTTTAAAATTCCTCCAAATCAGTGTTCATGTAACAATATTCATCATGTATGATAGATACTAAGTGATGCGGTACTTGACAATCGCTTCTTAAGCATCCTTAAATTTTAATTTTTATCTGTTTTGTACCAAAGAAAATCTACTATGAAGAAATAGAACTAATATGCTTTGTTTTTAAATGATCTACCAAAGAAGAAACGTCTTATGACATTTCTAATTGCTTTTGTTTAAAGACACATTTTAAGCATTTCTTGAAACATTTTTCTTCCAGGGAAAACTAACAATGCAATTTCTTACACGCCAGAAATTAATTTTTATATATTTATTGAATTTATACTGTGTTTTAAAACTCAACTAAATGTCCTTAGTTTTGACAGTTGTAGCTATGACTGTTATACTAATTTCAATACTTTTTTCTTTAGCACTCAAACCATCCAAGACACCTCAAATCACACACAGACCTGATGTACCCAAAATCCAGCCTGGTAATCACTGTTTTCAGTATCTTGATCCATAAGTAGGGAAACTATGTGTAAGTAATGTTAATCTTCATATTTGCAGTTCTGTTATGACACTAATTATAGCACCCTTTTTTCTCCTCAGTTTCAGAACCACCAAAGCAATTACTCCCTAAGTCCACAATCACAGCAAAACCAGATTTGCTACCAACTAAATCTGGTAAACATAATTTCTAATACCTTGGCTTAACAACCTTTTTCTCCTCTGGAAATTTTATAGAGCATGTTGCGATCATAGTTTCTATAAGCTATACATCATTGAACTGAAATATTATGATTTTTCATTGTCTTCTCAAAGTAACCACAACTAATATTTTAAGTACTAAATGAAGAAGTCCATGTGTGGGATATTGTATTTTCCTAAAGCATTTTTACGCTGTAATTAATGGTAGTCCAGCTTGTATTTTGGTAATTACCACTGGGTAGTAAGCCAGAAGAAGGTTGACACTTGGACTTCCTTAATAGGAACGACTGAAGAAAGATGTGCTGGCTAGGGATTAGCGTCTTTAAATTACCTAAGATAATTTTAACTTATAATTATTAACAGTGACTTTTCTACCACATAAATTATTTACATAACAGCTCTGAAAATTCAACTGTTTTGCAACTGAAAATTTTTCCTAGGATTCCAATTAGTATAAAATTCTAACTTACTAAGTGACCATTTCTTATAAACCTACAAGAAAACAATTTATATCAACTAAGAATAAACTAGATTCTGGGTTCTCTAAATTAGACACTGAACATTTAAAAGTCACTTGACTTTTGTTGCTTTTGTTTCTTTTCTTATGATGCAGTCTCTGAGCCTGTTGCATTTGAGACTGAAGCTCCATCTGTCGCCATAGGTAACAATACCTTCTTGGTCCCTCTTTCTCTGAGCTTGTCCCCTCATCTCTTCTTCCTTTCATCTGTATGTTTCTCCCACGTAAGATTGTAATTCTATCTCATTTTGTTTCTAAAAATTATTTACTGTCTTCAACAGAGGCCATTTTTAACATCAACTTAGCCATTCCATCCTATAACATTTGAGAATTATGCTTCCTTTGGTCCCCTTCAAGTATATTCAGTTTGCTTATAGCACTTGACAACTATTAAGAGTCATGTGTGCTTTGATCATCTATCTTTCAAACCACAGAACTTCTGCAACCTCTAGTGTACATACAGCTTTTGAATACGGGAAGGTAGCAGTGAAAGAGCTGGTTGGCTGGAGCTTTCAAGGATAGCTCATCAATGTCTGTCTTGTAGAAATCCTTTTTTCTTTGATGTATACTGCTCAAATGCAGCTGAATCTTCCTGTCCATAAATTTTCTTGGTGACATGAAATTCCAAACAAAATAGGGAAGCCCTATTTTTGTTTGAGAGCTATCGGTTTTCCATCGTGTCATCTTGTCTGTCTCCATTGGTTTTGTGTGTTACTAGTTCAGATGATGCTCTCATATGTGGCTTAAATCAATGTTGTGCCATGCTGACTTGAAGTGTCAGTGAAGTTTGTCTCTGTAGAAGTGTTTGAAGGGTTTTTGGTGATGATAAACTTGGAAATTACATAAATCTTCTAGATTTTAATGAAAAAAGGCAATGATAATTTAATATCAGAATCATAATTCTTAATTTAATTTCATATCTATACAGAGTCATTTCACAATGTTATAGAAGAGTAGAAATGCTGTTTTTCAAGATCAGACAGAAAATTGCATTATTGTCTTTCAGGTGTTTTTCTTAATCATCCTTGTTTCTGTGTGTGTGTGTGTGTGTGTGTGTGTGTTGCTGAGGATTGTTTCCAGACCCATATGAATGGTAGACACCTTCTCTACTACTGAGCTACACTCCAGCCCTTCATCTCTATTCCTCACTCAGATAATTATGTAGTTCTTATCCATGATGTGAGTTCGTAAGGAAAAATAGTAAGCAGCAATATCTCATTTATCATGAAGAAAAGGCACCTTCACTCAGCTATCACAGATCTTTAGTAAATAGACTAAAATTTTTCCAATCTTTCCACAACTACCACTCCTTAAAAAAATCAATAATGGTGGCCAGAGCCATTTACATGCCAGCAGAATTTTTAATAATAATTTTTAGCATAATTTAAAATAATGTATAAGAAAATCAAGCAATTTTCTTGGAGTCTGCTTTTGAATAAAGGGTACAATGAGATTAGCAAACCCAGAAAAGTAATTTTTACTAGCTTCCTAGCTATTCAAGGTATAAATGGTATACCTATATGGTGGATTTTGTGAGATAAATGGGTGAAAGAATATGGCCAGTGGTAATAAACACTATTTCCCCAGAATTCAAAAGTTTTTTTCAAATATAAATGGGTGAAGAAGATTCATTTTCAAGATAACTTTATTTTATATATTTCTTAATCTCTGTTGTTTCTTATCTGCTTTTGGTCAGTTTCTAGCGCAGACAGTGAACCTGTAATTGTGAGAACTGAGTCTCCACTGACAACTCTAGGTAATGGCCATTTATGTTGTTAAGCACATGCGACTTCTTCTCATTGTCTGGTCCATCACTATCTGAGTCAATGATTGTTCTCTTTCAAAGATTTTCTTATCAGCCTCATTTGTCATGCAAGGATATGTCCTGTTTGGAATGTATTAAAAGTACTTAAACACACCCCTTAGTTGCTCTGAAGCTAGTACAGACTATCTCCAATATTGTCCAGCTTCACTACATTCATTCTATAAAGTCCATGATTCTACTCCAGTAATGGTCTTTATGTTAAAGCTAAACTTCACATAACATAAGGAATGTTGGAAGTGGCACTGTAGCTCAAGTGGGCGCTTGCCTTGAGCTGAAGAGTGCAGGGACAGCGCCCAGGCCCAGAGTTCAAGTCCCACGACCGACCAAAAAACAAAACAAAACAAAAAAACAACAACAACTTTGGGGCTGGGAAGGTGGCTCAGTGGTAGAGCGCTTGCCTTGCATGCCTGAGGCCCTGAGTTCGATTCCTCAGCACCACATAAGAAAAAATAAAAAAGCCGGAAGTGGTGCTGTGGCTCAAGTGGAAGAGCTCTAGCCTTGAGCTGAAGAGCTGAGGGACAGTGCCCAGGCCCAGAGTTCAGGCTCCACGACCAGACCCCCCCCAAAAAAAAAATTAGGAATGCCTATTTCTTAAATATCAACTATAATTCTGTGGGCATTTGCTTTTCTTTTTTATTTTGTTTTAAACATGTACAGAACATTTTGTTATGTATACATGAATCTAGGAAATTAAAAGTACTTTTTGTAATAATTTTGATGGATCTTATGCCTAAACCAAGTAATTTCCAAAGACATAATTCAAAAAACAGGGTAGGCTATGTGTCTCGGAGGTGATACTGACATATTGTATGTCAAACTCTGGTTGGCGCTGGACCTTCTTTGAGAATCTGCTGTCAGTAACTAATAATAAAGTTTTCAAAATAATAAAATAAGCTTATGTAATCTATCATTTTCCCATATATATGGCCAGAAGAAACTTTCCAAGGGACCATTTTTTCTTGAGACTCAAGTAAACTAGGAAAAATAAGGAAAGCCTAGGGCCATGTACAATTATTTCTCTAGTTCCTGGAGTCATATGACTAAAATAACCAGTTTCCTTTCTTTAGCTCCAACAATAACCCAACGAGCAAGAACTCGTCGTCCACGTCCCAAACAAAAAACTACTCCAAGCCCCAAAATACCTCAGCCTACACCAGGTAAATATGTGGTTCCTGGTTCCTATTGGTCCACATTGGATATGACACGGGGTGTAGGCTTAACTTGCTACTGAGTAACCTTGTAGTCAGTCCTTAAAGGTAAAGACCTGGGTCATCGAAAGCTTCTACTACTAACACAATGCTCTGACTGATCCCTTTGGCTTTCTCATGCTGTTCATATGAGGATCTCCTGTGCCTGAGTATTTTGTTGTTTTTCTGACATACAGTAACATTTTATTCTTTGATTCTAGATGAGCAAAAATACAGCTAGCTAGTATATGTGATTCAAGCAGTTACACTTCCTACTAAATGCCACATTTGCATTTGTGAGGAACACAGTAAAAACAAAAGATATTTAGTTAAGGTTAGTTGAGAAAGGAAGTTGCTCTTGTTACAACTATTCCTAAAAAGATACAAGAAATGTGGGCAACAAGCTATGTTTATTAAGTTTTACCAATTGTTAGGCACACAGCTAATTTGTTAGAGAATTAAAAAAATTATGGCTGATATATATTATATAGTATGTATAATCTATAATATAATACATAACTTCCACAAATGTCTACATATGTATATAGTTACATATATATGCATACATGTATAATGTATATACATGTGTATATAATTATATGCACACATACATAATGTATGTATAATGTATATACATATGTATTATACATGTATATTCATGTATATTATATACATACAATGTGAAAATTAGAAATTTGTAGCTTTGTTAGTAGGATGGGCAAGAATTATATAAACAGGGAGAAGAATGATGTGCATGTAACAGTAAAAAGAATAGGAAGTAGATTTGCAACCTAACTATAAAGAAGACGGCATTAACTTAACTGGACAGTAATGCTATTTTTGGAAGGCCAACAAAGAGGGCCTTGATTATCCAACTTCAATTATTTCATTTGAACCATTTGGCATGTGCGCCTACCCTTCAGAATCAAGTCTTTTCTGTCCTTGTAATAGAGATACAGTAACACATTCCATGGTCAAATGCTTCTCTATATCTAGTTTTTTGTATACCTTTGTTGGAATAAAAGTCTTGGTCTTTTTCCAAAGAACAACAACAACAAAATGACCATTCTCTATTTTGATTATTCAGTCATTTCAGTTTTCATGACCTATGACTTTGCTTTCCAGTCTACAGTGTTATAAATTATATTTTATATTCTTTTGTAAAAAGACTGCCTAAGTGTTTTATTGTATTATCAGATCATAAAAATGAGCAAAACTTGCAGTTATTTATGTAAAGATGCTAATAAGAATTTT